CAGGCAGAAGCCACTGTGTCCGGCTGGGATGGTTTTAAAACACAAACTCTACCAGGTCTACTCCCTAACAGCACACCCTGGTAGTAATCCTCAACCAAGAGGAACTTTAAATTATAATAGTGACTGTGGTCACTGCTTCAGGTATTACCAGAGGCAAGAGATGCTAAATGCCTCGTATACCAAAAAGATATACCTCAGACTGCCAGGAGAGCCCTTGGAAAGGCCCGGCTCCCCAGAGGACATATAATTCTGCATGACCATGTTCCCTCCTGACTTCCCAGGCCTGTGGCCCACACTGCCACACTCACCATCCACTGGCCCAGGACAGCATCAATGCCCACACACCTGTGCTCCACTTCTCACCTGACCACCTTATCTGCTATCCTCCTTACCCAAGAAGCCCTCCCCGTCCCACCTCAGCCTCAACCTAGCTAGTGCCTAACAGGTAGGCTCAGTTCCAAGCTCAGCTCTTTCAGAAATCCCTCCTTGAACAACACATCCCCTCTTCAGCTCCCATGCACCCCATCACGCCACATCACCTGGTAGGGGCCACGTATACCCTTCTATCACTGCTCTTCCACCTTGCTTGAAAACTGCCTGCTGATGACTTTTCTCATCTCTGGGACTGTGCATTCTTCAAGTACAAAGACTATATCTTGTTGATCTTTGCATCCCCAGTTCTTTGCCCACAGTATGTCTTCAAATATCAAAAGAATGAACGAGAGGTTCATAGATAAACTGTGCAGACTGGGTGAGTCCTTGATAGAGAAAATCCTGACTTTGGCAGAGACATCGTATTTGTCCCCAGTATCCACGCTCCCCTCTCCCTTCTAAGATCAGAACCCCTTGAGTTCTGGCTGAACCCAGGGCCACCCCACCAGGCATCACCCTTCCCAGCCCAGGTGTACCCACATGATATGTCCTAGACACAGGTACATAAAGGGACACAACATATACAACTTCAAGGTACAAGATCCTTAAAAGGAAGCAGCTTGGCCTCCACATGCTGGAATGCAGAATGTAGGTCAGCTTCAACCAGGCAGGACAAGACACTTCATCTAAGTCAAAGGACAGAGGAACCCAGAGCAGAGCCGCCTCCCCAGGCCCCCACTGACTACACTGTTGGGTGGAGAGAGGTACATCTTCCATCTTCTTTTTTTTTTTAAATTTTTGTTTCAATACTGAAAGATTTCCATCTTCTTTAAGTCACTATTATGTTGTGTTAAAGCAGTCAAGTGAATCTTCTGGTTCTTTTTCATACTATCCCCAAAAGATTTAATTAATCATGAGATCATATTGTTCTAGCACCAGCTCATACCTAATTTTTTTTCAACTCTTCTTCCTAAACCCTGTGACTTCACTAAGAAAAGTAAATAGCGATTTTATTTTTAAGAGGGAGGGAGGTTGGCCATTATCCATTTAAGAGTTAACAGGAATAAAATACATAACTTACTTAAATTTTCATTTTCATTTGACAAATTTTTAGAGTCAATTCAATTGCCATATGCTAAATATGTACTATGTTCAAGGTGCTATGGAAGGACCAAAAAAAGTGTCTGCCTTCAAAGAACTTGTGATTTAATACAGTGTGTGTGTGTACGCATGCATACGTACAGCCGAAGGGCCATACTGTATGTAAGAGAAATACAAGGAAACTTCTATTACAACAGAGAAGAAGTAACTCTGGGAAAGAAAACATCATGATTTTCAAGGATTCAGTGCTTGGTTTTGAAGAATTAAAAACTCATAAGACACAGTCTATTCTCTGCTGTCAAAATTTGTAAAAGAGACAGGTAAGCAATACACAATGAAAAGTATATAACAGAAGTTTGTACAAGATACAAAAGTGGTACCAAAAAGGAAGTAGCTTAGCACTGTGGGTCAAGATGGTGCACAGAAAACCTTTATGGGGACTACACGAGCTTGACAAGAAGACAGGATCTGTAATACGCAAAGCCACAGGGACTGAGCATGGGATATGGTCTGAATCTGTGTCCCCACCCAAATCTCAGGTGGAACTGTAATCCCCAACGTTGGAAGTGGGCCTGGTGGGAGGTGACCGGATCATGGGGCCAGTTTCTTGTAGTTTAACATCATCTCCCTTGGTGTTGCTGTGAGGAAAGTGAGTTACTGAGAGATGTGGTTGCTTTAAATTGTTTAGCACCTCCTCGCTTTCTCTCTCCCTCCTGGTCTGGCCACATGAGATGTGCCTGCTTCCCGTTCAACTTCTGCCATGATTGAAAGTTTTCTGAGGCCTCCCCAGAAGCTGCCATGCTTCCTGTACAGCCTATGAAACCATGATCCAATTAAACCTCTTTTCTTTATAAATGACCCAGTCCCAGGTGTTTCTTTATAGCAATGCAAGGATGGACTAATATGCCAAGTGATCCTAGAACCATAAAAAGTTTGAAATTACCGGCAAATAGAGGACAAGGGGGTGAGCGGCAGATGATGAAGCTGGGATCCAGAGACAGGAACTTCAGTTAATAAGCTCTGGTGCAACTGCCCTGGCACAAGGGAACAAGCAATGGGGGTTCCTTCTGCTCTGCTAGATCCACACCTGCTCAGCTGCCTACCACTGTGCCTCAACCCTGACAAACACCAAAGAGAAGCTACAACACACATTCTTCATTCCTAAATACCACTGCCAAGTTCAGCTTACAAGGGAACCTCTAACCATCCTCCCAGAGCCTAGAGTCAGTTTTAAGCGTCCAGTGCTCTTGCACCTGGGCTCTATCCTTTGCAAAGCCTCAGGGACTCTCAAAAAAGCAGGCATACCCAGCCCCCAGCAGCACCCTCTCAACTCTCATTTTTTCCTGAGAGAAAGAAGAAGGAATACTTTATGATTCTATTGCTTCCCACCAAAATGTATCCACATGCCTTATCCCCACTGTAAACCAAGTCCCAGGAACCTTGCCCTGCTCGAAGGTGCTCTGAAAACTACTCTTCCTAGAAGAAGGAAAGGGGAAAGGCAGGTAGAGAGCCAGCAATGAATATCCATTTGCACAGAAATAAAATTGGCCAAAAATAAGATAGATGAACAGTAGAGGAAGTATAGGGGCATATTCTGGCAAGGGGTGTCGCTATCCATATCAATGGCAAGGACTATTGGTATGGATTAAATGGGGAAGATACATAGTCTAAAAAACACAAACCTGTCTCTGCAAGATGAAAGGTACTGCTGGGAACAGGGACACATGCAGGTGACATAAGGAAAAGTGTGCTGATAATTCACGTGAGTAAAGGATGCCTAACTGTGCTTCTGAGGTCATCACTGATCACATAATTTGCGGTAATTGCCAAGGTCTGACTAAGCAAAATTCAGTTAGAGCTTCCCTAGACCCACCTGAGAGAAGGATTATCTGGGCTCCTGGCTCCTCCTCCTCCCTGCAACAGCCTGCACTTGGCCACCCCACTATCACCTCCAGCAGAGCAGATGGAGGAAGCCAGTCAAGGTCCTGCAATGTCTGCCTCTCTAATAAAATCCAGGAAGGGTTAGTGGAAGAAAACCTCCAAAAGTTAGGTTTCCAGAAAAAAGAATGATTGGTAACGTATCAAGCTGCTTCTATCTCTGACTACTGAAAACCAGTCTATCTATAGCATGTATTTCTTTCCTCTCCCTTGAGAAAGTATGATGGTTCAAGTACAGCAACCCAGAGAACCTGGCCTTGCAGGGACGCAGGCCAGTTTGATACAGTTTATATATAAAGCATTTAAAGACTAAACACAATAAACCTTATTCCAAGCAGTTCCTTGCCTTGAATACTATAAAAGCTGTTTATGTTTCCACTGACATTTCTGACCCTTTATTTTCCAGTATACATGAAGAGAAAGAAAGCAGGCATCTGTCATGCACATATGTCTCTTGTCAAAGAGTTCTTTCCTGGGGGAACAAGGGGATGGCACTTACCTACAGGCAAGCACTTTGGTCTTGAAGGCCATCACAACGTGGTCCAGAGGTCTTGATGGACTGACCTAGCTAAAGGTGGTTTCCACCACCTATATGGCAGCACGAGGTAGATCCTCCCTCACCCCAAACCTACAGCATTATTCAGGGCAGCTTCAGATTCTGTTCATGCCTATTTTAAATGTTATTAAAATGTACCTGCATACATAGATTTTTCTCTACATAATCCTTCTGGAATATTACATTATAAATCAAATCAAAAGTTAAATTAATGACATCCAATTAAAAAGTAGATTAAGAGACTCATAGAGGAAGCACTGCACTAAGATTAATGAAAATGTTATTCCAACATGAAAATTGCCTTGAACTTGTTACCAAAATTTTGAACATTAATTATCTCTATTTTAAGCCTTGCCTTTAAAGTTATTTCTTCTACTTCCTTTTATCATACGTCGTGACAAATCCACAGTTGCCCCACACAATTATACAGCTCTCAAATTTATATATATATGCATGTGTGTATATATATATATATACATACACAAACACAAATTTAGAATATGATACTTTGTGCATTAGAAATTAACCAAAACATTTTCTTTTTCTTTTTTTTTTTTTTTAGACAGAGTCCCTCTCTGCCAGCCACGCTGGAGTGCAGTGGTGTGATCTCAGCTCACTGCAACCTCTGCCTCCCGGGTTCAAGCAATTCTCCTGCCTCAGTCTCCTGAGTAGCTGGGATTACAGGCATGCAACTCCATACCCCACTAATTTTTGTATTTTTAGTAAAGATGGGGTTTTGCCATGTTGGCCAGGCTGGTCTTGAATGCCTGACCTCAACTGATCCACCCACCTCAGCCTCCCACAGTTTTGGGATTACGGGCATGAACCACTGAGCCCAGCTGACCAAAACATTTTCAACAACAAATACTCAACATTAAATAAGCAAAATGAGTCAGAAGAGGTATACTCATCTAAATAAAAACTGATTCTCTACAGATCCAGTGTTTTGGAAAACATAAAGGTAATCAAGAAATACATAACTAGCAGAACACCGCCCCCGCCCCCCGCCCACCACCAAGCCATCACTACGCACCTGTGTAAGATCTGCAGCCTGCTGCAAGATGCTTTTTTTTAATTGCTCTGCTCTCTTTGCATGAAAAGAATTACTTTGACTCTGGATGACAAATACAATTTCTTTTAAGTCTAGAACAAAAAGAAACAGTTTTCAGGTATTTCTTTTGATACAATTAAAACTTGAAACAAGTGAAAAAAATAGCTACAAGGCAAGCCTTCAGGCAATAAACTCTTAAAGGGAAAAAAAATCAATTCATATGTCTTCTAGAGACAAAATTTTCTCTCTTTTTAAACTGTTTCCAAAACTTCCTTGGTAGAAGTTAGCAAGTAAATAAGCTGACTGTACCAGACCCAGTCTATGGCCCCAAACTGTGAATGTGCTCCTGTGTCTGTCAGAAAGAATGACTGTAAATGTGCGAAAACATCTAGAACGATAATCTTCCCAGTAGCTGAAAATCTAATGATTACAAATAGCTTTTTAACAATTCCCACATAATCCTACACTGTGCTACTACCTGTTATGAGTTGAATCATGTCCTCCAAAATTCGTATTTTGTAAGTCCTACCTCCTAACACTTCAGAATGTGACTTCATTTAGAATTGGGTCTTAGGAGGCTGAGGCAGGAGAATTGCCTGAACCCAGGAGGCAGAGGTTGCGGTGAGCCGAGATCACGCCACTGCACTCCAGCCTGGGTGGCAGGAGCGAAACTCCGTCTCAAAAAAAAAAAAAAAAAAGAATTGGGTCTTTACAGAGGTAATCAAGTTAAAGGGAGGTCATCAGGGTGAACCTCAATCCAACATAACCAGTATCCCTAAAAAGGGGGAAATCTGGATGCATAACCAACACACATAGAAGGAAGATGACATGAAGAGACATGTAGAGAAGATGGCCATCTACAAGCCAAAGAGAGAGGCCTGGAACAGATCCTTCCCTTCCCAGCTCTCAGAAGGAACCAACTCTGCCCACACCTTGATCTCAGACTTCGAGCCTCCAGAACTGTGAGACAAAACATTTCTGTTGCTTGTACTAAGTAAGCCATATTTTGTGGTACTTTGTTCTGTAGTCCTAGCTCACCACTACACTACTTCAAGAATGTTCTGAGTGGCCCTTTCAGGTGAAACTCAACAGTAAACTACACATCTCTCATGAGTTCACAGGGTTTGTGAATAAATGACTCAATAATCCCTACCCTACGTCATAAGGCACCTAGCCAGGATTAGGTGTTATCTCCAGGAAACCAGCCACAATTCCTCAGCAACAGGGCTTTAGTGCAAAGTGCTAGATAAAGCCCATCTATCCACAACACCCCACGCTGGCAGTATTCACCAGCCTGCTAGAGATGCACCTGAAGGCAGCCAGCTTTTTACAACGGCGAGCAGGGAGAAAACTCAAGTATGTCCTGCCCACAAAGACCATGGAGGGCTTGCCAATGGAGGTGGCAGGGCTGCAGCCCAGAGAAACATGTTAGGCCTCCCCAGGTTCTGAGCCTGTAACAAAGAAATCGATAAAACAGTGATTTTTGTCAGCATTCTGCCACCAGACAGGGATGTTGGCAGAAGGGAGGTGCCGCATAAATGGTAGCCTTCAGCCAGATTGTCAGCAAAGCCATGTGGGGACCTTTCCCGACCATGAATCTTTCTCTTTAACACCTCAGCTCAGAGACCCTAATTTAATTTTAATTGTATGCCATTATATTTGATTGTTCTTATGTTCTATTCTATAACTCCATTAACTTATTCACTTGCTCAAATATTCACACAACAGATAGCTCCACAGTGAGCCATCTAGAGTCTAAAAATAATCTAAAATGCTCTTTGGTTAAAAATCAATAAAATGTGTAAAAGGAAGTGCAGAACAACCTACTTTATCTGACCTAATTTCTTTTATTTAGGAGTTTATATAAATAGGAACATTCCATATACCTGTCTCTGTTTTAAACCAGCTTCTCAGCTTTATATGTTGGACTCATAGATTAGACTTAAATGGGTCTCTTCAGTTTCAACCGAATTGTTATCTTGGATCTACTACATTTGAAGCAATATAAATGACACATATAAAGAGGAGTCATAAAGACTTTTTTTTAAGAATGGAGTAAATAAGCCTCAGAGTATAATTTTTGTAAAATTTAATAAGCAAGAAGATACACATGCCCAATGACCCAGAAATTCCACTCTTATTAATCATCCTTGAGAAACTCAGATGAGTGCACAAGGATATAAAACAAAAGTATTCACAGTGGCACTGTGTAAAAGAAACAAATTGGAAGCAACGAAAATATCCACTAACAAGATATATTAACTGGAATACTATATAGCAATACAAATTAACCAGTACTACATGTATCAATCCAGATGGATATGGTAGACAAATCTATATGGTAGATAAATATAGATAAATCTATATGGTAGATAAAACTATATGGTCTACCATATAGCTATAATGCTGAAAAAAGCAAGTTGCAAAAGAATAACGTTATATATCAATATTTTGCAACAATATAAACATAAATATATTAAAATGTATATATATCATACATATACACACGTAGCATGTGAAGGTATAAAAGATTACATTAGAATGTTAAATACCAAATCAGGATAATGGTTAAAAAGTTTCAGCTGGGTTAATGGTGCTTAATTTCTTAATCTAGGTGATGTTTTATTTCTAAATCTAATGAACATATAATACATGAATGTTCACTATATTATTCTCTTTATAACTTTTTATATGTTCAAATTACCTCATAATAAATTTTTTAAAGAGCAGATTTCTCTATCAAAAGGTTAATCCTAGCTGGGCATTATATTTTGATAGCAGATTTCTCTATCAAAAGGTTAATCCTAGCTGGGTTAATCCTAGGTGGCATGCACCTGAAGTCTCAGCTAGTTGGGAAGCTGAAGCAGGAGGATTGCTTGGGCCCAGGAATTTGAGGTCAGCCTGAGCAACATAACAAGACTCCATCTAAAAAAAAAAAAAAAAAAAAAAAAAAAAACTTAATCCTGCATTCACCAGTCATCACAGTAACCAACTCCTGCCACTTCTACCACATCAGCAAAGCTCCCACCGTCTTCTCACAAAGACAACGGCACTTCCATGCAGGGAAGAGGATTTGCAAGATTAAAAAGCAGGGCCAGGTGCGGTGGCTCACGCCTATTATCCCAGCACTTTGGGAGGCCAAGGCAGGTGGATCACCTGAGGTCAGGAGTTCAAGACCAGCCTGACCAACATGGAGAAATCCCTTCTCTACTAAATATACAAAATTAGCCAGGCATGGTGGTGCATGCCTGTAATTCCAGCTACTCAGGAGGCTGAGGCAGGAGAATTGCTTGAAGCTGGGAGCCAGAGGTTGCAGTGAGCTGTTGCACTCCAGCCTAGGCAACAAGAGGGAAACTCCATCTCAAACAAACAAAAAAAAAGCAAATTCTTCCCATATATACCTAGGTCATGTCCTGTGAGTTGTATCTGTGCTCTTTAACATAGCTACTAAGCAATCATACTGGCCCCTCCCTTTTTCCTATACTTCAATCATGCATGCTTCATTCATTCATTCAGCAAACATCTTCTGAGTACCTACTAAGTGTAGGGCTCTGTGATACAAGGATGAGTGAGCCCAGTCACAGCACTGGAGTGTCTGAGCCTCGTTCAGAGACAGGCCATTATAACACAAAGCAGTAAGTGGAAAGCCAGAGCTAACTAAGCACAGGGAACAGAAATTCATGAGTTTCTCTAGGATGATTAATAAGACTGAAATTTCTGGGACACTGGGAAAGTGCATCTTCTTTATTAAATTCACAAAAATTATTCTCTGAGGCTTATTTACTCTATTCCAGACAATCGGGGGCCAAGTGCAAGGAGGGCTTCCCAGGGGAGGTATTTCCTGAGTTTCCTCTAAAAAGCAGCAGACACACGCAGAGAGGGTAGCAGATCAGTGGGGTTACCACAGAACCCACAGCCTGCAGTATCTCCACAGCATCCCTGAGTGAATGACCATGTTTGTCAGGCATTTCTGAGAGAAGAAGCAAGGCGGGGTACAGTCGGTGATAAAGTTAGAAAGGGAAGCAGATTCGTCAAGTCAAAAATCATGAGGAATTTATATACCACGCTGAGAAGCTTAGGCTCTAGATTAATCACTTTCAAATGGGGGAAGGGCCTCAGGAGCCAAGTGGGGTCCCAGGCAGTGGGGCCTTCCCAAAGGAGGGAAGGTGTACACTGTCCTAAAGATGGAGGAAAAAGAGGGTGGGAAGACCCTCCCCACAGAAGGGGCAGTGAAGATTTGGGACAGAAAATCAAATTTAGGGCCCAGAAAACATTAATGGTTAGGTATGGCCGAGGAACAGGATGCATGGGGAGGGATTATCGAGGACAAGGCTAAAGGGGAAGGGAGCTCCTGTAACCCTGATCATGATAATGCCGGAAGACCACTGACATGCTAGTCAGCCCCAACCCATCCCAGAAAAGAACCAGGTTAGTATAAGTAGTACAATTCAGTGCCGCAAACAGCTTATGTGTTTAAATTCTTGCTGTTCTGACATACAGCCTAAGCCATCCCTTCACTGAATCACATTCTTGCTGAGTCCAGATCCAGAGCTTATCTCGCTAGCTGTCTTCTCTGTGTATGCCATCCAACCCCCTGACTCTTAAGCTCCTGCTGCCCAGTCGACAGAGCTAAATAAGACAATTCCTCCATGATTTCCTTATCATTTTGGTTGCACTTCTTTAAACTCACTGCAATTTGCCTTCAGCAAACACTGTCACAACTCAAGATGGATCGTCATTGTTTCTCCACCAGGAATGGGCAATAAATGGGCTGCACACTAAGTGCTTGACGGTAATAATCAGAGTGACAGGCTAGAAGGGGAAGATAAAGAAATTAGTCAAGGATACCTAAAGGGCCAATGCAATGTCAAAGCCAATGGTGAGTTGCAGAGAGCGCTCAGGAATGGCGGCAGGACCAAAAGATAGTTAGAAAACAGACGCTGATGAGCAATCATTCTTTGAAAGCAGAAGAAACCAAATGCTCTGTATTTGGTCTTCAGTTGCTCAGTACCTACCATTGGCTAAGCACTGAACTAAGTGCTCATCTTCCTGGTCAGAAATTACCTAGAAAAATGGGTCTCATCATGCTTGCGTTTTTCTGATGAGAAACCAATACGGTTTTCTTCTGATAAAAGGTGAATAACAAGCCACCTTATGATTTAAAGCTGAGGGATAAAGATGTACACATGCGTGCACACATACACACATGCACACACATGCACAAAGCACCACTCCAATTATGTTTACTTGGTGAGAATAATCATACACTAGTGGATCTATCAATTAGGCAGCAAGCTGAAGGGGAAAGAGCAGCCTGCGTGTGGAGGCTATTTCCCAGCTCTGACTGTGAGCCATGCTCTTGGTGCCTCGCTCTACCCTTGTTGCTGCGACTGCCCAGGCAACTCTAGTAGCCTCCTGGTCCTGTGGCCTCACACAAGGACCGTGACAAAGAAGCCCCCTGGGTCTTTTCCAGATGAACTGATGCCAAGTTAGGTATCACTCGACCTGCCATGTGCAAGTGCAAGAATATAAATTTACTTGTCCAAGGTAACTTCCACTTCGTAGTTTCAAGCCCATGTTCCAGACTTGCATCATTAATTCATTTAAAACCAGAGACTCATCTGTTCCCATAAACCACAAATAAATGCTCACAGCCACCAGAGTTGGTAGCAGAGAAAACATCTCCACATTTTAGGAAAGGTGTAGCAAAACCATACAGGGTGTTGTAATATAGAGAAGAAAAAGCAACACATGGCTCCTTAAATACAGTTGCTCTCAGACCCCGCAGACCTCAACAAACTCCCCTGTGGGCCCTAGATGTGGCTCCCGAAGACAGGTCATGCTCCCCCTTTCCCCCAGGGCAAAGGTGGAGGCTCTCCTTACTTCTGCACCCCTCAGAACCCAGGCCCAGGAAGGGAAGGTCTAGAAGGACCTTTTCCCTCTTATCTAGAGCTTGCCTTCCGGGTATCCATGGAAAACAAAAGAGAGGAAGCAAGAAGAGTATATCGTTCCCTTCCTGTTTCCTGGAACCCAGGCTTATCCATCATGAAACCAGAGGTGAGCCAACCACCCGTGTCTGTAAGGAGACTCTTCCAATGGACCACATACCCCCTGACACCACACACCTCCTGTGGAGGTCCCACTGCTTCTGGTGTCCAGGTCCTGGCTGATTGTGTTCCAGACTTGGGTCATTCCTCCTACCGTGGGAGGAAAGACATTGACAAAGTTCACACCCTTCAGGGACAGACTCACCCCTCCCCACAGAGGACATGCCTTACACACTGGGCATGTGCTTCCCATGAAATTTTTTTTTAAAAAACTCTAACTGATAGTCACATTCCTAAAGATGCTTACGTTATATGGGGGTTAGAGGAAGGCATAACAGCTTCCAGGCCAGGATGCTTGGAATAAGTTTGGCAGATGTGATTGGCGAGCTGACTTTAAAAGGCATGGAGGTATCTGAAGGTCAGTAGTGGGAGCCTGCTCCCAGACGGCATGCACAAAGGTCACAGCTTGTCCTTTTCTCCCACACAGTGTGGGTCCTTAATAACAGGGACCATGTCTCCTTCCTGTCTACATTCCCCCAGACAGCCCACCAGGCATGGTGTTTTATCTTATCCAAAGCTTAATGAATGATGCCAGAGGGAATTAAATCCAACGTATCTCACCGAGTAAACATAAATCCACCACATGCCAACATGCCCGTCTGAGAAGTGTTCACCCCACATCTTCAGGAGAGCATATTTGGACAACAATATTTACCCCATAAATAAAATTTTAAAAAATCACTTGACAGAAATACAATTCATACGAAATACAATTCATACAAAATTCACCTGAGTACACACTCTTAGGTTAAAAAAAAATCATTACTTACCTATGTCATTTTTCCTTGATATACCACTTTTCTCCAAATCCTGTATTTTAAATGAAAGAGAAAAAGATGAATCTCAGTACATAACAAAACCAGGAATACACTGAATAAACAAGCATGGTGCATGGTATGTATCAGCACACCAGAGGAAGATTTGAAAATGGGAGGTTGGAGACGCTTCCATAAAGAAATGAGACCAAAACCTAAGGGACCACAGAGCAACGACGTACTTGTGTCATGACAGACCTTTTAGGTGGGGCTGTACCCTCCTCATACGATCTTGGGCAAGTCAATTGATTGAGCTGAAGCTCTTTCCTACTGTGTAAGATGCAGTGAACGCTTAACTGGCTCACGATATTCTCAGCAGGGTTTAAAGCATTTTTACATTTTTAAAGCACTGTAAACTATAAAGCATTATGGACATATCAGAGGATTTCCTCGATTCTGACAGGATGTTCCTCATAAAGATGAGTTCTGCTAATTACTGCACTTTATCAATCTTTTGGGTGCAGACATACTGTCATCAAGAATGTTACCACAATGTTCTCTCCTACTTGAGAAGTAGCCTTAGGGGTTTGCACAGGGCCTCGGAGGCCAGCCTACAGTGGTCACTAGAATTCAGGAGCACAGAAGGGGCGCCTTAGAGCTGGAGAGTTCCACACACAGAAATCTGGATGTGGCCACAGAAATACCTGACCTTGACTCTGTAAATCAAGAGAGGAGCTCTCAAAAGATTTCTCTAGCAAAGTGCAAAGCATCAGCAGCTAAATCTTCCATTTTCATTGTCTTCGCTGCAGATTAAGAAGGCATTTTCTCCCTAATTGCCCTTTTCTGCTTTCAACAGCCATATGCTATAATTATGACAATTGAATGGTGGGAAATATCCTTCAATTTTCTTCACAGACTGCAACAAGAAATGTGGTCATGAGCCCTTACCAACAAAATTGGGAGCAGCTTAAAAACCAAGAGACGTATCCACAGAGATGCATCCTCTAAGAATACCAAAGGGACCATGATAGCACTCGGGGAGGAGAGAGCTAAACACAGGGGAGCGACTACCTTTAGTGGCAATATTCTGAACTTATCCTTGTCTCAAGACTAGAAATGCCACTAAGTAGAGAAGAACCTAGAGTTATATGCTGATTTGTTAGCTCTCAGGATGGATCAAGTGACACCTAACTTAATCCCAATACAACACGTAGATCTAGAATAAATTACTAAAAAAGACTGGAAAGCTCAACCATTTTCTGAATGCACTAAACCAAAGCCAGGTCACCACCGTAAGTCAGCATGTGCAGACTTACTCGAAGTGCCATTCTTGACCAGGAAGACAACCTGCCCTCAGGGAAGAGGCCAGCCTCAGCTCCAGAGGAGCCATTTGGCTCCATTGGCAACCTACCGCCTACCCCAGGCCAAGCTGCCTTCTGGATGCCACGGCTTTGGCTGCCAGCTGAGGCTCCTGGAAAAATAGAATTGTTAGATCTAAAAACAGCATTGGAGATGATTCAACCCAACACTCCCCTTTTGCAAATACGACAACAGAGGCTCAGAAAAGACATTTTCCCAAGGTTCAACAAGTCATCGTGGCCACAGAACCAGAATTACAACCCAGGTCTCCTAACTCAGTCCCAATGCTCTTCCTCACACCGCCATGATAATGCCTGCTCAGCCTCCCTCGGGAGGCATGCTTTAGAAAATACACTTCATTAGACGTAAACAGATTTTGAGAGTAAGCAAAAAAATAATATGTAAAGCAAAAGTCACCTTTATCAACAAGTTAAAAGATGAAAAATATCCAGAATGCTATGGTTCTAGACTGAGAAAATTAAGCTTCAAAACCAACTGGACTTTCTATCAGATAGCTATCTTTGTGAAATCAAAGAAAAGCAACGAAAATTATATATCCTTCTATTTGCTATTAAGCACAGCAGCTCTGTGGACTGACACAATACCTGGGAAATGATTAGCCATTTCAAGGGGTTCAATTTGTAAACTGTAAAAATAAAATATGCAAGAAACAGTTGAATTAGGTGAATTGAGATGGAACCAAAATGGTCTTGACTAATTTCCCCTGTGAGAAAGAAAATTAGACTAAATGAACGAATTAACAGAACAATTAAAATTCTGTCTCCAGCTTCCCTCGTGAAAAGACTTAGCTCTTCCTAGGATGAAGGAAACACATGGTTTGTTTTATTACTTCTGCTGCCACATGTTTCTTACGCTATCAATATCAATCAAAATGTGCTCACTGTCAAGGTTTTATAAGTCAACTGAATTGCTATTCAGATACAAAAGAGATCTGCTATTAATCTCCACCCAACAGACAGCTCCTACGCTAGCCGGGAAAAGCCATATTAAACTCACCCTTTGACACAGGTTTTATTTTTTAAGTCACAGTAGATTTGAACATTTGCAATCCATACATGTAATGCTTAGTTTATAAGTCCTTCATTAAAAGATGTGACATCCTCCAAAGAATTTGATATGAAATCTTTCAAAGGGAAGAGAAGTAAAATGGAATCTTCCACCCAGTCACAACTACCTACCACTACCCCATAGATTCTGAATAACATGATCAGATGTGTTCAGGATTACACTCAGTTGTAAGTTGGCCCTGGGCTCTAATTCTGCCCGCACCACCTTCTCCCTCAGGCCAGTTTCAACCGGAATAGGAATAATACTGACAAGACGCATTCACAGGATTGTGCTGTAGACTGAACAAGATAGTAAAATGCTGAGCACGAGGTCTCCGCAAAGCAAATGCTCAATAATTATTGGTACCTACCCTTTTTACCATCATTATCACAACTACTTCATATGAAGTCAACTACCTCCATAAAAGAAATTTAACTGACAAAAGCAGCCCCACTTTACTTTGATTTGTTCAGGTAGAAAAGATGGGTTATGAAACCTCCTGAAAGGCTGTTTACTACATTTGTTGTGGTCTTGTCAAGTAAACGTTTAAACAGGACCTGGCACTGTTCTACGCTATAAACATGCAGGCTTAACCTTCAAAACAGCCCTGTGAAGTTGGTCCTACGACCCCATCTTACAGAGGAGGAGGCTGAGCCCAGCGAGGTTAACTAGGTCCCACAGCTGGCCAGTGGTGGGGAAGAGATGAACTGCAGCACTTTGCTTCTCATGTCCAGCGTAAACCTTATGCCTGTCATTTAGGGCTCAAAGTCACAAGCCGCCGCAGGACTAGGCAGCACTTGCAGTTTGTCAAAAACGATCCTCATTACTGCCAAACACACACATCATAATGCACAGGGCTGTGTGATATAAAACAGTGAAGTGAGAAAAATTCAAGGATTCAGAAAATGTTGATTCTAACTTTACCTTTTAATAATCATGTATTAGGTCATGAGTCACATGTATTGATTTGTGTATGTTGAACCAACCTTGCCTCCTAAGAATAAAGCCTACTTAACTATGGTGGATTAGCTTTTTCAGGAGCTGCTGAATTTGGTTTGCTAGAATTTTTGTTGAAGAATTTTGCATCTATGTTCACCAGGGATATTGGCCTGATGTTTTCTTTTTTTCTTGTGTCTCTGCCAGGTTTTGGTATCAGAATAATACTGGCCTTACAGAATGAGTTAGGGAGCAATCCCTCTTCCCCAATTTTTGGGAAGAGTTTCAGTAGAATTGGAACCGGCTCTTTACACATCTGGTAGAATTTGGCTATGAATCTATCTGGTCCAGGGCTTTTTTAAAAACCACATGATCATGTGAATAGATGAAAAAAAAAAGCTTTCAATAAAATTCAGCATCATTTCATGTTAAAAACTCTCAACAAATTAGGCATCAAAGGTACATACCTCAAAATAATAAAAGCCGTCTATGACAAACTCACAGCCAACATTATACACAATGGGCAAAAGTGGAAGCTTTCCCTTTGAGAACCGGAACAAGACAAGGATGCCCACTCTCACCACTCCTATTCAACGTGGTACTGGAAGTCTAGCCAGGGCAATCAGACAAGATAAAGAAATAAGACATCCAAACAGGAAGAGAGATACTTTGACTATACCTAGAAAAGATCTAATAAACTTCAGCAAAGTTTCAGGATACAAAATCAAAGTACAAAAATCAGTAGCACTTCTATACACAAATAACATCCACACTGACAGCAAACCAAGAAAGCAATCCCATTCACAATAGCCACAAAAAGGCCAGGTGCAGTGGCTCACGCCTGTAATTCCATCACTTTGGTTGGCCAAGGCGGGTGAATCACTTGAGGTCAGCAGTTCAAGACCAGCCTGGGCAACATAGTGAAATCCTGTTTCTACTAAAAATACAAAAATTAGCCGGACATGGTGGCAGGTGCCTGTAATCCCAGCTATTCGGGAGGCTGAGGCAGGAGAATTGCTTGAACTGAGGAGGCGAAGGTTATAATGAGCTGAGATCATGCCACTGCACGCTAGCCTCAGTAACAGCGTTAAGACTCCATCTCAAAGAAAAAAAAAAAGCCACAAAAAGAATAAAACACCTAGGAATGCAGCTAACCAGGGAAGTAAAAGATCTCTACGAGAATTACAAAGCACTGCTGAAAAAAATCAGAGACAACAAAACAAATGAAAAAAACATTCCTTGTTCACGGATAGGAAGAATGAATATTGTTCAAATGCCATATTGCCCAAAGCAATTTACAGATTCAATGCTATTTCCTATCAAACTACCAACGACATTTTTCACAGAATTAGAAAAAAAAAATTCTACAATTCATTTGGAACCAAAAAGAGCCCAAGTAGCCAAAGCAATCCTAAGCCAAAAAAACAAAGCTGGAGGCATATTACCTGACTTCAAACTACACTTCAACTACAGTAACCAAACAGCATGGGACTGCTACAGAAACAGACACACAGAGCAATGGAACAGGCTAGAGAACCCAGAAATAAAGCCACACACCTAACAAGCATCTGATCTTCAACAGAAACAAGAAGTGGGGAAAAGACTCACTATTCAAGAAATGGCACTGGGATAACTGGCTAGCCATATACAGAAGATTGACACCGGTCCCCTTCCTTATACCACACACAAAGTTCAACTCAAGATGAATTAAAGACTTAAATGTAAAACCTAAAACTATAAAAAAAAACCTACAAGAAAACATAAGAAATATCATTCTGGACATCAGCCTGTGCAAAGACTTCATGAGGAAGATTCCAAAAGCAATTGAAACAAAACAAAATTTGACCAGTGGGGCCTAATTAAATGAAAGAGCTTCTCCACAGCAAAATGGATTATCAACAGAGTAAACAGACAACCTACAGAATGGGAGAAAGTATTTGCAAACTATTTATCTGACAAAGGCCTACATCCAGAATCTGTAAGGAATGTAAGCTAATCAACAAGTGAAAAAACAAAACAAAACAAAAACCATTTAAAAATGGGCAAAGGACATGAACAGACACTTCTCAAAAGAAGACATACATGATGCCAACAAGCATATGAAAAAACGTTCAACATCACTAATCATTAGGGAAACGTAAATCAAAAGCACAATGAAATACCATCTCACACTAGTCAGAATGGCTATTAATACTAAAAAATCAAAAAATAACAGATACTGGCAAGGTTGCAGAAAAAAGATAACACTTACACACTGCTGGTGGAAATGTAAATTAGTTCAGCCACTGTGGAAAGAGATTTTTCAAAGAACTTGAAATAGAACTACCATTCAACTCAGCAATTTCATTACTGGGTTGATGCCCAAAGGAATGCAAATTGTTCTGCCATAAAGACACATGCACATATGTTCATCACAGCACTATACACAATAGCAAAGACACGCAATCAACCTGGGTGTCCATCAGCAGTGGACTGTATAAAGAAAATGTAGTATATATACACCATGGAATACTACACAGCCATAAGAAAGAATGAGCACATGGCTTTTGCAGTAACACAGATAGAGCTGGAGGCCATTATCCTAACTCAATTAATGCAGAAACAGAAAATCAAAAACCAGAAATTCTCACTTACAAATAGGAGCTAAACATAGTGTACACATAGACACAAATAAGGGAACAACAGACACTGAGGTCTATTTGAGAGTAGGGGGTGGGAGGAGAGTTAGAATCAAAAAACCACCTATGCTTCTTACCTGAGTGACAAAATAATCTGTCCATCAAACCCCTGTGACATGCAATTTACCCATGTAACAAACCTGCACATGTACCCCTTGAACTAAAATACAAGTTGAAAAGAAAAAAAAAAATCAATCACATAACTTCTCTGAGGTTAAATTTTCTCTGTTGTAAATGAGAATAACTGCTTTAGCAAATAACAGGATCATTGAGAAGATTAAATGAAATGAAATATGTGAAATGCTTTATTAATCAAAAAGGTCTTAAAATCATAAGAAATTAGTATTATCATTTGCCCTGTGTAAGAATCTCATAATACAGTTAAAACAGATAATATTCTGTTGATAAAAGAAGGATTCTATTAAATGCTCTTACACCATTTGTGGGGTAAAAAAGAGAATCAACTGAGCTTTAACGAATATGATAAAAACAACTGATATTTTAAACTATTGTTTGTCTTTTTTACATGCTAAACTGATCTAGTACAAAGCCCAACTAGGAACCATTTAGAGCACTTCCCTGACTGCAACCAATGATTAAGAAGCAGCAGCTCTGAGATTCAGATAAGTACTGTCCACTCTCTGAGAGTTCCCAGGCCTGGGTTTCTGTTACTGATCGCCTGGCAGCACAGTCACCTTTGGGGTCTCCTTCCCAGCCCCCAGCACGCCCTCTCACATATTGTCACCTTCATGGTGAGACTAATCAGATTTCTGTAACACCTGTGACACAGTAAAATCCTTTCACAGACTGGAAAAATTAAACCCAACGTTAAGATATTTGGTAAAACTGGGCTGGGCATGGTGCCTCATGCCTGTAACCCCAGCACTTTGGGAGGCTGAGGCGGAGGGATCACTTGAGGTCAGGAGTACAAGACTGGCCTGGGCAACATGATGAAACCCCATCTCTATTAATAATGCAAAAATTAGCAAGGCTTGGTGGCACACGCCTGTATTACCAGCTAGTTGGGAGGCTGAGGCAAGAGAATCACTTGAACCTAGGAAGCGGAGGTTGCAGTGATCCAAAATCGTGCCACTGCACTCCAGCCTGGGTGACAGAGTGAAACTCCATGTGAAAAGAAAAAAAAGATATATGGTAAGACTGGCAGTAACTATGGTATCCCAGCAAGACTACTAAAACGTCCAATTATATGTCAAAACATCTTTTTTCTCAAAATAACTTTAAAACCAAGTGGGTCAGACTTAACTGTTAAAGGATTTTTAAAAAGCAAGTCTATCCATAGGTTGTGTTAGGGATTCAAAATCTGTGTTGACCAACATTATATTACTTCATATAATGATAAAAATGATCACAATTGAAGAATGAAATGATTGCAGTTCCCACTGAGGAAAATATAAAAGAATCTTTGAGGGGGAGGAAAAGATTTGATCACTGGGATTAGTACCTGAGACTGCCTGACCTCTTTCTTTGTATCTTCAGAAGCCAAACCGAAAGCTGGAAAAAAAAGAAACATTTTTACATTAGAATTAGCAATTCAGGTTCATTCTCACATCCAACAGTTTTGCTTATAATAAAAAAAAGATACCTTAACAAGACATATTTTGCTCATTTTTAAGCAGCTGCATTGCTGCAAACTAGTATTACTGGCTTTCTTCATCTCAGACCTAAAATTATTCATCGACACGAAGCCAACACACTTAGGCTACCAAGCAAAAGAAATAGTACATCAGACGAATTAAAATCTGCGTACGCCGTTTGTGTCTATAGACATAAGCTATAAAATAGATGTGTGTGAAATACTTGTTCTTAGAAACCTTAAAAACCTTAAGTCTGGTACCTTCTTAAGCAAAAGGGAATTCCTGAGAATCCAGGAGGAAGAAGTACAAATTCTCACCCTCAAAATCACTGCCAGAGCCTGGCAGGCAGCATAGCTAAATTTGGAGCAAGTGTTTTCCTAAGGGCTGCAAGGTTAGAAGTGTGATACAGATACCGCTACCAGCTAGCACAGAACCCTACTAAGGCAATGGGGCCGGGAGAGTGAGGGGAATGAAAGTCATTCTCCATTTTGAGTGAATAAATGTTTTGAGTCAGAGCCATGATAGACAAAGATATCCCTAGAGCCACATTTGGGCTCTGCATTAAAAATAATAACAACATGACAGTAACACTCTGAAAATAGAAGGCAAAATGACAAGTCAAACAGGAAGCTTAACAGAACAAAAAATAGTACCTTCATTTTACAGTGCATTTCTCCTGAGCAGCTAAGAGGAAAGCATTGCAGAGTTCGCTTTCTCCAAAAGGCAATGCCATAGGGCAGTGATGTACTAAAAGGGTGGGAGAGGTGACACCATGGAACAATTATGTAGTATAAGGAGTGTCAGCAGAGGGGCTCCATGTGTGGCAGAGGAGACTCTACTCAGAAGCAGGAGAAGATTTTTACCCATTTGGACCCCTTAATCCCTCCCCATCCCCACCCCCAGACATCCATTGCCTCAAATTCTCCGTTAACATTTGCTTAAAAGAAAGAATCCAAAACATCTTCACACTAAGAAGCAAATGACTAACATACATGGTTTCATCATTTCCATTTCCAGAATGGCATTTCGAAAGGCAGGGTGAAACTGAAATGTAAGCCATATGAACCTCTATGTGAAGAATTTAGCTAACAGTAGACATTATAAAGGTCTCCCTGAGACCACCTCACATAAAATAATAAATCCCCAATTCCACACCCTCCTTATCCACTTCACTCTGCTTTACTCTTCTCCAGAGCACTTATCATCGACTGACATATATATTTATTACTTTTCTTACATATCAGTTGACTGTAAGCTACACGAGGGCAGGAATACAGTTATACCGGTTTGGGGAGTCGGGGTTGTTTTGTTTTTTTTTTTTTTAGATAGTATCTCACTCTGTTGCCCAGGCTAGACTGCAATGGCGCCATCTCACCTCAATGCAATCATCTCCTGGGCTCAAATGATCCTCCCACCTCAGCCTCCTGAGTAGCTAGGACTACAGATGTGCACCACCATGCCCAGCTAATTTGTGTGTGTGTGTGCGTGTGCGTGCGTGCGTGTGCGTGTGCATGTGTGTGTGCGTGTGTGTGTGTAGACAAGGTTTCACCATGTTACTCTGGCTGGCCTCAAATTCCTGGGCTCAAGCGATCCGTCCACCTCACAGTGCTGGGATTACAGGCGTGAGCAACCACACTCAGCCAGGAATACAGTCTTATCTACTGTTTGCCTCCACACCAAAAGCACAGCTAACACAAAGAAGAAACTCAATAAATATTTACTGAGTAAATCAACGAGTGAAAGTCCTCACTGTGGGGGACCCTAGGGTCACATCAGATAAAGGCTCCCTGCTCCCTATAGGAGGCAGTGCCAACCCAGTAGAATAAGGGAGTTATTCTACTCACACACAAATACACAAGAAAAACAAAGCCCAAATCATTCATTCAAGTTCTAAGAAGAAAGGAGAGATTTAACTCCAAAAGCTATTTAAATTCTGCTTCTGGGTACTTAATTTTTTGGTTTTGTTTTATTTAACTCTAAGCTAATATGCACATTGAAAACCCTGAAGAATAAATCAAAAAGAGAACTTAAGGAGTATCATACAGGAGGTTGCAACATGTTAACACATCTTAGCACCACAGAATTCCAGAAAATAGAATATTCTGAGAACTTGCAAGATATAAAAACTGTTGAAACTAATTCATGGCTTTGGTTCAAAAATCCATCTCCCCGCTGAGCGTGGTGGGTCACATCTGTGTAATCCCAGAACTCTGAGAGGCCATGGCAGGAGGACAACATAGGGAGACCCTGTCTCTACAAAAAATAAAAATATTAGCCAGGCATGCAGCCGGGCACGGTGGCTCATGCCTGTAATCCCATCACTTTGGGAGGCCAAGGCGGACAGATCACAAGGTCAGGAGTTCAAGACCAGGCTGGCCAACATAGTGAAACCCTGTCTCTACTAAAAATACAACAATTAGCCAGGCATGGTGGTAGATGCCTATAGTCCCAGTTACTCAGGAGGCTGAGGCAGGAGAATCACTTGCACCCAGCAGTGGAGGTTGCAGTGAGCCAAGATCATGTCACTGCACTCCAGCCTGGGCAACAGAGCAAGACTGCATCTTAAAAAAAAAAAAAAAAAAAAAAAAAAAAAAAAATTAGCCAGGCATGCTACAGCATGCCTATCATCCCAGCTACTCAAAGACAAGGTGTGAAGATGTTTTGAGCCCAGGAGTCCAAAACTGCAGTGAGCTATGATCACACCACCACACTCCAGCCTGGATGAAAGTGAGACCCTGTCTCAAAAAAAAGGAAAAAATCCATCTCCCCCTCCCCAATCAATTCCTAATTCCAAACAAGGACAGTCAAATATCTCTGGGGTTAGAATTTCCTCTTGTATCAATTAAAATAACTTTTTAAATGTAATAGTCCAGTAGCATCATCTAATAACAATGTTTGTTTTTACCTCACTTTTGTGCAACGCCAGCCAGCTATATGACAACAAAGTCCAGTGAATACAAAAGCCCCTAACCCTTAGAATGTAGAATATAGTGAAAGTATCTATTTGGTACTGGTTCTGAAAATTACTAACGTACCATCTTTTGTAAGTAAGCATTTAATATTATTTGACGATGTAACTGCTTAAAGTAGGAATTACACAGAGAGAGGATACTGCCAATAAATCAAATGAATTCCACAAATTCTACTTGTCATAATCAACACACCATCCCTTTAGCCAGACAAAGCTTAACTGAGCTAAGTTAAACTAGATTCTAGTTCCGTCCAAAAATATAGACCTAGAGTTAAAATATCCCTTTAAAAAAAAAACTGAAACCAAAAAAAGCCTGTCATTTCTCATCACTCTGCTGTGAGATTTAAAATTCCTTTTTCCCATGATAGACACAAATTATAATATTTAAAGCAATGACATAAGAAATGCATCAGAGTTACTTTCAGTTGTAGGAGCAAATCATAAAGCAAAATAATCCTTAGAAAAAAAACGCCAGCTTTTTTTTTTTTTTTTTTGAGACAGGTCTCATTCTGTTGCCCAGCCTGGAGTGCAGTGGCACTATCTCGGCTCACTGCAACCTCTACCTCCCAGATTCAAGCTATTCTCCTACCTTAGCCTACCAAGTAGCTGGGATTACAGGTACGTGCCACCATGCCCAGCTAATTTTTGTATTTTTAGTAGAGACGAAGTTTTGCCATACTGGCCAGGCTGGTCTCAAACTCCTGACCTCAGGTGAGTTGCCAGCCTCATCTTCCCAGAGTGCTGGGATTACAGGTGTGAACCACCACGCCCAACCACCAATTGGTTTTATCTTTACATTTCTATAATCTAAATAAATCAAAAGAAATCATCAAGGAACCAAATGTGGCCAGGTGTGGTGGCACATGCCTGTAATTCCAGCACTTTGGGAGGCTGAAGCAGGAGGATCACTTGAGGTCAAAAGTACAAGACCATCCTGGACAAGACGGTGGGACCCCATCTCTCCAAAAACAAAAAAAAAGAAAAAAAGAAAAAGATTGAAACTTAACCAGGCTCCCTAGTACGCGCCTGTAGTCCCAGCCAATTGGGAGACTGAAGTGGGAGGATTCCTTATATCCAAAAGTTCAAGGCAGCAGTAAGCTATGATCATGCCACTGCATTCCAGCCTGTTAAAAAAACAAACAAACAAATAAAAATAAAAAAGAAATCAAATGTATTGTGAAGGCACAGAATATGCTATACCACTAACAAATCCAATCTTAAAGTACCTAACCATTTATAGAGTTCTTACCAATAAAAATTCTGGTTTCATGGAAGTGAAAGAGAAATGGTGTAAAGAGATGAGCAAAGTGAGAAAAATTAGCAAGGGAGGCAAGAAATTGCCTGTCACCTTCAACAATGCTAACAAGAGTGCACTCTGCAAGTCGAGTCTGGGCGGGCAAAGAAACGGAGGAGTGAAGGAAAGATCTCTCCATCCTGCCCCCAACCAAAGGGGTACACAGGAGTGGCTACCTGGGGCTCAATGTTTGCTGCTTGTTTTCATATTAATTTCCAGATTCAGTAGGGAAAATACTGTTGAAAATTTGGCCTTAGTGCTTTAATGTGCAATTGGAGAAATATTCCAAGGTAAATCATGCTTTTATATATGCCAAATGCTGTTTAAAAGTAATTTCCCCTTTTCTATTTTCAACATGAATTCTGGTAAATTGCAACAGGGAACTATATTTAAAGTGTAAATCAGGGCAGGCAATAGAAATCGGACCTTTTTCATGATAACTTTAAATAATTCAGGGCAACAAATGTGTTAGCATACCTAGATGGAGAGATAAATCAAGATTTTACAACTAGCCTGGGACTAAGATTTATAGGCCAGCCTAAGCCCCAGAGTGCAAGAAAACTGGCGAGTAATTAATTGCAACGCATTTAAGCAGCACTAATCAACTATCTTTCCTTGTTCCTGAGAGAGCGCAAGGGACCCCATTCCATGC